CTTAAACTGATAATATGAAATTAATATTTTGTTTATCAGACTACAGGAAAATTGATATTACTAAAGTCAAGGAAGAACTATAATTTCTTTCTTTCCCAAGTCTCCTTTGAGTTAATCTCATTTCCATATGAGCAAGTGTTATTATTCTGTTACATATCTGTGAAACTGTGTGCTTTGCAACATTCATTCTTGTGGTTGTCAGTTGCTCTTGCTGACAATAGGTTTTTAGCTTGTTTCCGTTAGATCCTTCTACCATAAGTATATATCTGTTTGGGAAAATGTTGAAGGTCTTGAATTATAATTAGTAGAATGTGTACCTTGTTTTATCTCAATAGGCTACTTTGGAAAGATTTTGAAACAGTCTTCTCAAAGATTGATATAAGAAAATCACATGATAGGAAAGAAGCATTATGTACTTGACTTAACTCTTTCATATGAAACTATAGACTTACTATTTTGACATCACAAACATCTAATGTGAACCAGTGCTACATTCAGCATACCACGTGACATAAAAATCAATGTTTAACTGTGTTTTTTTAATATTTAATTTTAAACTAAGAAATAAAATAATGTATAATACTAAAATTTTAATTATAATATACAGGTTTATACCAAACTATTTGACATAAATTCATGAAATAGTAGTTCAATAGAATTTTGAATGTGAGTCAACAAACGAGATGACATTGTCTTTGACCTGTCTGGAGCGGGTTAGTTAAAATGTTTTGTTTTTAACCGAGTAATAGTTCGTATCTTAATAGTTAAAAATATTGACTTAATGTAACTTGATTATATAAAATACTGATTTAATGAAACTTGATTATAGGAGAGAATGTTCAAAATGTGCCAGTATGGCTAATATAATGGACAAGTTTAAACTTTAAGACTTTGAGATTTTTGTAATGTGTGTTTGTAGCTAATATAATGACAAGTTTAAATTTTGAGATTTTTGTAATGTTTGTTTGTGGCTAGTATAATGACAAGTTTAAACTTTGAGATTTTTGTAATGTGTGTTTGTGGCTAATATAATGACAAGTTTAAACTTTGAGATTTTTATATTCAGTCATGTAACTTATTTCAGGAGCAATAAAACCCAAGTATATCGAAACCAACATAACAAACACAATTTGGTAGGCTTAGAACAGAAAGATGCTCTACCATTCATGCAAAATCCTCCACATGGAGCTACTCCAATGTTGAGTCGTGGGATTAGTGGCTTCGGCTACCTGCCATATCCTTATGGCAATCCTTACGGTTTAGGAATGGATGTGCAAGATTATTTCTCCTATTCCAAAAGGTATTCACACTATAACAAGCAAGTTTTAAGTTCCCCTTCTTCAAGTTATGGTGCAAAAACATCCAATAGATCGTCAAGTGGAATCAAAGAATCCACGAATTCTAAGCTACCAAACCAAACTAAGTGTGCAGTTGATTTCCAAGGCAGAGATTTGTCTGCAAAACAACAAAGGTGTGTATTCTTTTAAATGCAGTTTGATTATGGTAGAATAGTTGAGTTTGATTACAGTAGGCTATTTGTGTTTGATTATGGTAGACAAGTAGTGTGTGATTATTGTAGACTAGTTTAAGTAGAGAAGTAAAGTTAAATAACAATGACAAAGTAGCTCTTAAATGTGAATAAATATAATTAAGATATTAACCATCCTGTTATGTTTTGGGTCTATTTGACCCAATGCTGGTGTCAACAACATTATGATGAAATTAAATATATCAGAGCTATTATATTGAGAGTTTGGATTAATTTCTAATATTTAACATTAAAGAGTAACAGCTATACAAAGAAAACTATCAATTCAAGTCTGTTTCAGTTTGTTTGTAAATGTTTCAGGTCAATGTAACAAATATACTTAAATTCTGAGTATAGTAGGAGTGTTAAGTTAATTACATAAATACATATAAGCATACTTTCCTGTTTTTCTGATATTATAAAAAGATAGACATAGAAGTAAATGGACTGACAAAAAGATTAATTATTACTAACAACTTGAATCAAAATTTGTTACTATTGTATTCTAGGAAGTTACAAATTGACATCAAAGTTTGTTAGTGTTATATCTTATATAATCAAAAACACCTTAGGTGTGAAAACAAGGTGCAGCCGAGAAATGACTGAGCCTGCGAATTAAATGAATGTAATCAAAATTTGCGGCCAAGTTAGTAGCTACACTTATAACGTTGATAAAAATTCATTCATTAGTTAGCCAGGCTGCATTTTTTGTTCATACTTGGGGCATGATAGTGGGGTGTTATATCTTATGAAGTTACAAGGTGATATTTACTATCATATTGTAGGAAGTTTAATAGTATCTATTCAAAATTAAGAGCAACTGGTTTCTGGGTACTAGAAAAACAAGTTTTAGTTAATTTTGATCAATTAAATTAATTTTGAAATGAAAATTTGAGTGACTTCTTTTTAAGAATGAGTTAGGACTACAATTATAAGTTGTCAGTACAAAAGTAGCTCATGTTGTCATGATCATTTCAAGATTAAAATACTGCTGAAAGTTTACACAAGGTAAAAAGAGATTAACAGTGGTTGCAGAGAGAAAATTTGCTGGATTTGTTTTAACATATGCGGTAATATTTATATTTTTACATTATTAGTTTTTCTTAACATACTGCAGTAATATTGTGTTTGTACACTTCTCATTTATTGTAACGTATTAATTTTTTAAATTATTTTATTACTAGTTTATTTTAACATGCTTGGCTCACAGGGTTTTGTGGGCAGATCACTGATAGCTTTGCACTTAACAACACACATATGTTTTAACATACTTCAGTAATTTTTTGTGATTCTATTATCTTTATAATTTTTGTTTGTACTTCAATTAAGCACTGGACACTAAAACTGGAACACGTTTTTGAAAATCAAAATAAGTATGTTCACTGTGTTATGAAATTACCTTTTCAGAAACCGTTCTAGGAGAAAAAGAAAAGAGGAAACAAGTGCCAAATGTGTAAGTTCAAATCATATTCCCAATTTTCAAAATGATTTTCAAGAAACAGAGAAAGATTACTCAAAATGATAATTAGAGAATATACCTTAGTATAAATCCCACTGGTCTGTAATAAGTTTATGGACTTACAATGGTAACACTCCCAGGTTTGGTTCCCCATGGTGGACAGAGTTCAGATAGCCCAGTGTGTGACTTTATGCTAAAACAAATCTTTGGTATAAATTCAATCTCAGAAAGTCCTTTGTTGTGTGAAAGTATTTTATTTAGTAATGTATGTAATAGTCATGATTTTTCATTAAAAACTGAGAGGGTGGCATGAGTTTTATGTAAGGTGATGTTGTTGAACCACAATAGCAGTGTCACAACATATTAGGACTTGACATGGCCCAATTATTAATGTGTTGGACTGAGGATCAAAGGATCTGGAGTTCAAAACATGGATGTAGCTGACTGAACATGCTCCATACTTTCAAGAAAGTGCTTGATCACACTTTTTGGCTAAAAGAACCCCACAAATCCTTGTGATGACAGTTGTTGTTTGCTTGCTTCTGCTTTCCATCTGTTCAGTAGCTCAGAATTAGGGAAGATGTACTTGAACCCCAGGGGCGTGTCTCACCCGGCCACTTAGTCTTGTATATGAAACCTGTTCAGAACCCATGTTAACTGTGATGGGGTTTCTGAAGATAAATATTACAAAACAGACATGCACATTTGAATCAAAATCACCTTATTAGTGTAAAATGATGTATTTTCTTTTTTAAATTGAGTTCTACACATGTCTCATTTTTAGAAAGCTTGTAACGTTTATAAAATGGTGGATGTTCTTATATTTAAATTTGTTTTCTTTGATTTGTGTGTGTATAAGTTATTGAGTTATTGAGCCGCATCATGTGTTTACATGTTCATTTATGTATTATGTGTGCTTCCATATGAAATAGGAACATAGAGGAGGAAGTAATGATACAAAAGGCTGTGAAAGTAAAGACATCAAACCTGATTCAGCCAAGTTTGATCTGGAACCTGCTTCATTTCCACCTCTTCCAGGATCATGGGTAACAAACAGACATTATATAAAACACGTAGAGTAAAATGTGTTTAATGCCTATTACCGATTTAAAGTAGTCCATGATTGTGTGAAACTTGCAAACTTGAATTACAGTGATAATCTTGTGAAACATGTTTTATAGTTCTTACCCATTTCAAGCAGTAAAAGTCAGAAGTGAATGAAGGTTGTTAGAAGTGCACCAAAAACAGATTGGAGCTGGGGTGTTTTGGGGCTTGCAACCCTATAAAATGTTTGCAATTAGAATGGGTTAGGCCTATTTTGGTGCAGTGGTGCCCAAGTTGTGATAAAAGTCAGGGAATAAAAAAAAAAAACTGATGTGAAAAAAGCAATTTAATGACTAATTTACATTACGTTCTATTTTTTATTTTAATCTCTTATCTTCTATACATACACCAAATTCAGTTTTATCCATTTATGGTATGCCATTATTTTGGATCAAAACCTCAATTCAAGTTAGGAAATCATAAGCCTATTGAAGTTTACAGGGAGTGTCCCTATATTAGAGAAAAGGGGTGAGAGGAAGCTTGCCCACCTATTTGAACATACTTGTCTTTTGTCAGTAGTTCAAGAGCAAGTGATCTTACAATCAATACTTAAAAGTTGCTGACACTGAGCTGATTTGTGGAAATTCTCACAAACATTTATCAGTTCATAACAGTACTCAAAGTTTTCAACGTTGTTGCTGTCAGTTCAAGGAAAATTTAGTTTTGTTTCATGATGACTCGAAGATTTAGTTTAGTAGTTTGAACTACTATTAGAGGGTTTATTTCTTGAACAACAAAGTTTGTAAAAAGTAAGAAGTTATTAACAAGTATACAAGTTCTTTTTGTTTTATGTCTGAACAGAAATGGAACTTTAATTGGGCAGTAAATGGTAAATATTTAGATCACTTGTAATTTTGCACTTGTAGCACCCTTAATATTTTAATAGCTGATGTACCATTTCATTACCCTTGGGGGTTACATAATGGGGGTCAAATCTGAATGTCAACCCACCTGTGGAACTCCTGGGAGGGGGGCATAGTGGTACATGCCAGATCTGATAACAATTAGTCCATCAGTTCACCAGTACAGACAGACACACAGACTTTGTCAAATGGTAGTGTATTATTATTAGTTTGGCTAATCCCCAGGCTCCCCTTAAAAGTTTGACTAATATCCCCACTGTGATCGAGTTTAGCTGATGCCCAAAATACATTCAAGAATGTAACTAATGCCTGGGTCATGTTTAAGAGGATCTTGAAGACCACTGTACTTATGATTAATATTAAGAACACCATGTGGTAATTTAAGTCATGTTTCATAACTTGAGTTTTCTTATGGAAATTTTTTCTTTTGATCCAGAAATTTCTTCAGTAAAGCATTTAGCTGCTATTAACCATATCGAGATGGGTCACGGGTGAAAGGTCATGTCATCTTGTATGTTGACTTGCATTTAAAATTTTATAAATTTAAATGAATTTATGTCAATAAGTTTGGTATGAAATTGTAGATCATAGTTCAAATTTTAATACTATATACCACTCAATTTTTTAATTTAAAAGCAAATATTAAGAAAAAACAGATAAACATCAATTTTTGTGTGCCATGTGGTATGTTGAATGCAGCACTGGTTCAGTTAGATGTTTGTGAAGTCAAAATACTAAGTCTTTAGTTCTAAACAAATTAGAAACTCAAATTACCGATATTAACAAGCTAGAATATAAAAT